CCAGAAGGTCCCAAGTCCTAAAATGGAGATTCCTTTCGACTGTGATCACAGTGGCCTTGACAAATTTCAGAGCCAGTGTAAAACCTTCTGGAGCTCCAAATTGGAAAGATATTGGTGCCTTCTTATATCACATAGGATTGAAAAATCAGAATGATCTAAATCTCTTAAATAAATATAAAGCTATTCAATAATTAAAATCTTCCCCCATATCCCAGAGAAATTGTGTTGGTTCCCCTGCCCCAAATACCCAGCGATATTCAAAACTTCTCCAACTCTCCTTTTGAGTACCTGCTTTTATGAAACTCCAATTCTGTTTAATCCCTACCCAGGCAGGGAACATCACTTACACCGGTCATGAGGTTTATCCTGTGATGACTTTGGTGTATAAATTGAATAGTATCCCATGAAACCTCCTTCCAACTGAGATTCCATCATTTTGAAGCTAGCAAACCACATGATCATCATGTGGCCCCATCTAATGTTCTGCGAATGCTTCCTGTTAAAATATTTCCCTCATGGAGAATGGAGAAAAAAATATTAAAAGATGAACTGTAAGCTCTTTGGCAGGAAAGCTATTAGTAAGACAATGAACATTATTTCTATGGAAATCTGTCAAGAAAAAACAAGCATGATTTTGACACAAATCTGAACAGACTAATGCAAAGAGGGGGTCACTACAAAATGCTACCTGACCTGCCTGCTTGATTTGCTCCAAAGAGCACTGTATTTCAGAAGCTGAATAAGAACCAAAGCCCATACATTAATAAGCTAGTACATTCTGAGTGGCAGTTTATTCACAGAAACAATTCAGATTGAGGGTGCTCAGAATACTACAGTTTCATTCATAAAGCATGTAGCTCCTGAAGGTTTCATTTGCATTGCATAGCATAGTCCTGAATCGCTTTCCTCTCCCCTCCTTGCAGTTGTGCTTCTGGTTTCATTGCACAATGACTGCACTGAAGTTTGGGTTTGTAACACTTGTTAATTCTTGACAGCTGACAATTTGTACTCTCCCCTACAGGGATACCGTGCATATCTTACTAATCGGCAAAAGATAATTGGGAGGGAGAGCTGTGAAGCATCATGGAAGGGGGAACAGCAGAGTGTGTCCTTTTCTAAGGCTAAATGTTGCCAGAAAAAAGTGGTTTTTGATTTTCATTTGTCTGAATGGGAAAGGCACTAAATGAATGGTGAGTCCTTAATATATTGGGCTTGTTTGCTCAAGGAGCAATATTCTGTGAGGGGCAGAAGATGTACCCTACTCACTCTTGAATCCCTATCAATTAGCATGCTATCTGATGCATAGTAGGTATTCAGGAAATGTTTGCCCACCCCATGAAGGATAGAAGGAATGGCTACCAAAGATAATAGTGTGTAATCTATTAACTGATGATATCTGTTTTTTTTTTCTTTTTGTAGTTCTGCATTACTTGTACCCTTACACTGTTTTGTTTTGTTCTGTTTTTTTCTCTTTTTCCTTTTAAATAAATAAAAAAAAGAAGGAATGGCTACATGGAAGGGTCTATGAGTGCTTCCTGGAAAGTTCCCAGTTAAATGCCAAGTGACCGATCAATGATAAAGCCATACCCAGATATGCAGTCCCTCTCCAGGGCTAATGTCTAATCAGTTGTGGTATCTGATTTCTGACTACAGCCTTTGGTTTCACCTAGACTAGTACAATAGAGTTGGTTACAAACAAGGCTTAAATTAAAGGAATGCAAACTCATAGTCCTCTAAGACCCTGGGCATTAATACACAAAACAAGGATTGCATATTCCTAAATTGTTTGTCTTAATACTCTCCAGATTTTTGATGCTGCCAAAACTTGACCTAGAAAACAAGCTTCTTCAGAAGCTTGCAACTAGCCCCTGGCTTTATCTCCAGGAATCTCAGAAAAGTGGAAGGTAGCATGAGAAATCCAGCTCAGTATTCACATCACTGGTTGTTAAGTTTAGATCTGAAAAGGACCTCCAAAGTCTGATGTATTTAGAGACGGGGCTTCTGGAGGGTGACCTGATTGTGCGGTGCAATACTTATCAGTGGGTTAATAGTTGAATGTGTGGTTAGGAGGTGGGGCCTGGTTGAAAGAGGTGGGTCACTGGAAGGGTGTATTCTTGTCCTTGCCTCCTCCTTTCTCTAGCTGCTTCCTGGATGCCATGGGATGAAAGCAGCTTTCCTTTGCCCGATCCTTCTTCCATGCCATTTCTACCTTGGATCCAACCAATTATGGACTGAATCCTCTGAAACCATGAGCCAACTAAACCTCTCCTCCTTTCAGTTGTCGTGTCAGGTATTTTGTCCCAGTGACAGGAAAGTGATTAACACACGGGTAGAGTCTATGCCCTAAATCCAACTGTTTCCAAATGTTCCATGGGCAAGGCACTTGGGTGGTAGCCTAATTTTTTTCTTAGGCTGTTGTTATGGTTTATATCTAGATGTCCCCCTAAAAGTCTTATGAGCTCATAGGTGGAGCTTTTGGGAGATAGGTGATTGAGGTTGTGTGATGCTCATCAATGGGTTAGTTTGCTGATGAATTTATAGCTAAATGTGACATAAGGAGATGAGGCCTGGTTGAAGTAGGTGGGTCACAGCCTGGAAGGGTCCATCTTCCTTTTTCCTCTCTTGACCTTGCTCTCTGCTTCCTGATGCCATGCTATGAGCTGTTTCTCCATTCCAATGCCTCTCTTCCACGCCACTCTGCCTTGGAGCCAGCTAATCCTGGACTGAAACTTCTTGGTAGCAATGTTTGGCTCAGCAATAAAAAAGTAACTAAGGGGCTGGGGATTTAGCTCAGCGGCATATGCACCTGCCTTGCAAGGATGTGGTCCTGAGTTCAATCCTTGGTACCATAAAAAAAAAAAAGAAAGAAAAAAGAGTAACTAAGACTGTTGTATTGCCATCACAAAGATATAGCCTCAAGGCCTCAAGGGGTCTGGCTTCCACAGGTATTGTGGGTCCCCTAAACTCCTCTGCTCTCCAGCACTGAGGACTTGGGTGGTGGAGTGGACCTCAGGGGAAAAGCAAGCTCTTTTATATGTTGAGTGAAGGCCCTTTGGAGTCCAGAGACTTAGATGACAGGTTGGTAGTCAAATTATTACACTAAGCAAAGTATTTTAATTCCAGCAAAGTCAGATGGCCTCCCTTCAAGTGTGGGTTTGTGCATGTGCAGACATAGACACGGAGATGTCAATAAAATGACTACCCCAGGTGTGCAATCCAGTGTTGGTCATAATCTTACCTCCAAGAGGCCACAGGGTGACTCAGAGCAATCATTTCTATACTCTTGGTCTGTTCAGGTTGTTATACCAAATTGAGATTTATTTCTTGTGATTTGCGACATCCAAGACCAAAGCACCAGCAGATTTGGTGTCTTGTGGGGGCCCTATATCCTGATTCATAGATGACAGAGGGGCCTGGGATATTTCTGAGGTCTCTTTTAGAAGGACTTGAGTCTTATCCATGAGGCCTCATGACCTAGTCACCTCCCAAATATTCCACTCCTCAAAACACCCTGAGCATCAGCGATCAGGTTTCTGTATATGAATTTAGGGGAAAGAACATGAAAAAATTATTTTCAGCACCTGCCAATCATCCATGCACATTTACAGTGATTGCTTCTCACCACTGATTTCATGAAGCTTCCTAGGTGCATCCTTTCTGGTTTCCAGTGGCCAACAGAGCTCACGAGTTGGATGCATGATATTCGTTTAGAAGAGTCTAGACACCATTCTTTGGAATAAATTTGATGGCCTATCTCTGGTAGAGAGGAACCCAGCAAGGAAATCCGGGTTTGCATGTGTCTTTCCCAGCGATCTAGGTCTGTCTGCCTCCTATTTCTGAGAGTGAAGCCAGCACCATCACACTCTGTCGCTTGATCACCTCATTTGTCCTGAAAGCCAAGCACCATCAGGGTCCAGGAGGAAGGAAAAAGAAATCAGCTACCTCATCGTATTTCTTGAGATGTTCTGTACCCTATGAGGAACCTTGCCAAAATTTCGTGAGGTCTCTCTCATTCATTCCTCATAATTTCAGCAAAGTGATGATGTTGAAAGTGACTCTTGTGCATATTTGAGCCCTCTTCACACAAGAGAGAGGAGTAAACATTTGTTCCTTCAGTATCTAAGTACTTTCCAAGTTCCTAAAGAGAATGTCAGCAAGTTGGGGGGCAGCGGGAAGCAGCTCTGTGTGGGTACCCATATCTCAATGGATTCACAAAAGCCCCAGGTTCATGACTCACCTTTAGGCACAGGGTCTCCTCATCTCAGAGCTGGTCTGCTTGTATTTTTGTTATGAGACAGGCTTTCTTACCTCTATTCTAAATTACTTTTGTAATCAATATGCTGCTTTCTCTCTGTGTCATGAACAAGTCTATCCTGGCTTCTCTGGTTGTGACCATCCAGTTTAGACGTGTTAACTGATGCTGTTTCTTGGTATTTCCTAAAGAATGTCATTGGCCTTGCTGATGTACTGAGCCACACTTTTGCGGCCGTCCATCTATGAATCTGCAGCTCCTTGGCAGAATCTTCCTGTTCGGTCAGTGAGGCATGGGGGTGGGGCACAGTAGGCAGCACACAGCCTCAAGATTGCTGGGAGTTGCCCAGGGTAGGATGAGTAAGTGGCCTCGGAAGTTTGTGCTCCAGACCATTGCAATGTCTGGATCCCTTGGTAGCAATGGGACTTTTTAATGCTCTGAAAACAACTGGCTGGACACTGGCTTTTTTGGCCTGGGGCCTCACCTGCTTCTCTGAGGCCTGTGAATGGCCAAAGTCAGTTTTAATTTTTGTTTTTGGGGTTTTTTTTTTTCTGGCCCATAAGTTCGTGCTTTAACTAGTGGTAAATTCAGGATGTCTTTAACTAGTGGTAAATGCAGGATGGCTTATGAGACCACACTAGGTCTATCCTGTTACTGTTCTTAAGCAATGTCCAGCAGGCACCACCATGTGGCTCAATTGTGACCATCTCACCATCTGGAGGACTTGGAATGAGGAGCAGGCAGGTAGTGTGATATGAAAGCCTTTGTCATTTTATTTTACAATAAAAAAATTCTAACAGCACATGAACACTCTGATCCCGGCAGAGGCAAAGGATGTACAAAGTTAATTAGAAAGCAAAGCATTAAAATAACAACAGCTACATTCAAAGCTTCTGCTCAGTACTTTGCCCGATGTGTCTAATGTGGTTTGAATGAATCGCCGGTCTGGGTTTTTCACTCAGCATGAAAGCACAGGTACAAGTACTCACACACCCTCCAAGTCCTAGACGACAATGACAGTAACAGCATCTCCCAGGTGGGGTGGCTTTTGTGGACAGTCCCACACTTAGGAATTTATTTGTCCTTGACAAGAAGTTGTCAGGAACACGTGATGATACAATTCTATCCAGTGGGTGGGTGAAGCTAAAACACTTTGCTGGATAAAACTGAACTGTGAAAGTAATAATTTAGTAAGAATTCCTTCAAATATACTTTTCAAGCCATGTTCAGATACATTATGCTATGTGCTCCTCCCAACCACTAGGGGAGCTAGGACAAACAGACACTGTTAGACCCATTTCACAAGGGAGGAATTAGAGACTAGTTTTAAGTGAGTTTCTCAAGGTGTAGAATATTTACACCTGTTCAAAACGTCCAGTTTACTGATACTTTTCTGATTCTGTTCAGTACAATTTTTTTTCTCCATTTAGTTTATATGTGGGCAAAGGTGAGTTTAGACATTAGGAGGGGACTCGGGGAAGGCAAGGACACAGTTAAATTATGTGGAATACACGTACGGCCTCCTTCCATAATTTACAAAAGTTCCATCGATGTCAGAATGAAAATAATCAATTTCTAGATTTCATTTATATAATGGCTCTTAATCAAGTATGGGTTTAACCTTTGGAAACAAATTCTTGCTTTACCAAAATGTTCCTTGTTTGTGTAACCTGCAGAATCAAAGCAACTCAATACCTTCTAAGAGAATTTGTTTCTGACACAATTATATTTCCTAAGTACTACTTTTCAGGAACTCCCTGCATTTACCACTAGTTAACATTCTGTTAACAGTTCACCCAATTAATCAAGAAACCTTTCAATTCTCAGATACTAACTTATATTCAGAAGGTCAGAGCCACTATAATATCAGTTTCACTTGAAACTAATTTTGTTTCAAAAAACTCTATTGAGAGGCTCATTGGCTTTCTCATCCATGCAAATGTGTGGCCATGAGCCACATTAGTAGCACCTGAGCTAAGATCGTGCACTTCAATTTACAAATATTTATTGTCTGGTGAGCAGGACATTCTGCTAGCTGCACGCTGGTTAGAAATCCTTCCTTAGGCCCAGTAGAAGCATTTGATAACTAGTGTTGAGGTGGGAATTGGCTAGGGCAATTCTGACCGATCTTCCAGGGTTCAAGTGCATGCAACCCTTCCTGATGCTCAAGTGAGGGATGCCCATTGTTCTCTGCAGCAGTATTCATAGATGCTGATTGGCTGCTGGGTAGCAAACTAGGAGTGCTGGTCAAATCCAGTCTGCAGCAGGTTCCTTTTGAAGTTTCTATCCAGTTGTAGCCTTCCTCTGGGTACCAGGCCCCAACAGAAGTCCCTGCTGCTAAGGTCAATCCAGGATGCCATGGTGGTATGACCCAACTTTGCCTCCTTGCTTACATCTGAGTGGCTAGGCACCAGACCCAGTGGCTTCCCAGAGGCAGATGAGCTGGACCAATCAGATTCTTAGCAGTTTGCCTACCACAGCACAGAGATGCTAGTCGGAGAGTGCTGGGTGCTGAGGAGGAAAGGTTGTGTGGAGTGTGGGTCCTTGGGTGGGTTTGCCAGCTACATTTGCACTAATGAGAAAGCTTGTTGGCTAAAGGCAGTGAGAGATCTGAGAAGATACACAGAGAGAAACTGAGATGAAAGAGAATGAGAGAGAGAGAGAGAGAGAGAGTGAGAGAGAGAGAGAGAGAGAGCCAGAGCACAAGCATGAGGCAGCTGCACCCATCCCTTGCCTGTTGAGAAACTGTATTTTATTTTCATAAAATATCCCTGTATTTTTTTAGCCAACTCCTGTACTTGAGCGAGTGTGGAAGCATCTGCAGTCCTCACAGAGTTCTAGAAAGTTGCTGAGGTTGGATTAAAGGGCAGAATTTAACTTCTAACATTTAGGCCCTAGTCAGTCACTACGCCAAGTTTAATTCTTATTATTCCCTAAAAGTCTTTGGCCGTATTTTGCAAAGGAAGTCCACATTTTTTTTCTGGTAAGCAGGAGAAGCAATTTAAACTTCATGTCCTGTTCTCAAACTTTAAAAACAGTATCTGTTAGTCTGTTCATTAAATTTTGGGCACTTGTGTGTTATGTAGAAACTCACTTATATGCAACCAATATATACATTTTTAAATTTATTTTTCTAATTTCTGCCCAATGTTAGAAAAGAATTTCTATTTGTTAGGTATTTAAATTCTTCTCCCTTTCCATTCTACGTACTCTCTCAGAAAGTTTTTTTTTTCTCCTTTTTAAAAATCACATATCTAACCCTTTCCTTCTTCCATGAGGACTATGCAGAAGTTACACACCCTTTTTCTGGGTTCTTAAAATAACAAAAAGCACAAAATCACTTCTTCCAGGACTGGAGACTTGCTTCTTATACAGTCTGCCCTTTGGAAGAAGACTTCCTGTTCCACAGGGAACCTCTGCCATGTTGTTATGACGTGAGTCTCGGATCGTAGGTGCCAAGCCACATCACGGACCTTTGCGTCCTTGCTCTGACTGTTTCCTCCTCCAGGGCAAAGAATGGCACCTGCTGCCTTTCAATGACAAGCTGTCAATTCATCCTTGCCTGTCTGTTTGGGTCTAGGGTACCAAGAGAGGGCAAGTCACCCCCATAGCTTCAAACAGCATCTGAGGCCATAATTTCTTTTTAATGACCGCATTTCTTTTTAATGAATGCAGAAAATTCACATCAAACTCAGTGCCGAAAAAATGTTTATTATGCCACAAAGGTATTGTCCTCTATACACTGTATTCAAAGTTCCTTATTCAATCATCTTTTTTTTTTCTCTTGGCAAGAGCATTATGGACCTCACAGGACCTTTGTCTATTTTGCAAACTTTTGGGCACAGCTGAAGAAATGTGTCACTAACAAGCATGTAGGCAGCATGGTAAATGGAGAGCAGACTGGATCATGAATCAGCAGGGGTAGGCTTGATTTTTGGGCTGGTCAGTCCATTCCTCTGGACTTCTGTTTCCTCCTTCACGGTCACCAATATCCTTTAGGGTTTCGGTGACCGTCTGGAGGATCGCGATGAACACTGAGTTCATTCCTGTCTCCTCAGGGTTCTTATGAAACCCTATTTTTGCTTCCGTGAAGCACCTTTTACCATCTGCCTTTTCTCAGGGTCACTTATCCTGGTGTCTGTGACCTCCATGAGGTCAAGAGACAACAGAGAAGGGACCACATCTTAGTCCCAGAAAATTGAACAATGGTAGCTCTCTCTTCTTCGGTGGGAAAACACGCACAGATTTTCCTTCTTATACATACCATTTCCTCTCATTTACTTTTCTTGAACCTGTGGTGTCTACTTTAAGAGAGTGTCTGACTTAGCATGCTGTATCACTTCTCAGGCGACTAAATATTTCATGGAGTTCTGTGAAGCCTGCAATGATTTGTAGCTCCACTGTCTTAGCAATCTGAAACCATACAAGGCAAATTCTGGATTCATGATTGCAATCACTGGAACCTCCAAAGCTCAGACACTGTATTTTGCAACATGGACATTTCTTTCAATGACACTAAGGTCTTAAAACCTCACTTTCACATACAGTATTTCCAGGCATTTACCAAGTAGACAAAGTACTGGGTTGATATCATTGCACTGATGAAATATTGGTGTTATTGATAAAGCAGGACAATATAGCTGTCTTTATCAGACTCATACCATTTCATGAAAAGGCTGAGTTTCTTTGGCTCTTTGTTCATTCAAGTGCATTGAATGCCGGTTTGGATAGACCTAGGCATTGTGTTAATCTGTCGATAAAATCTTGCACTATCCACAGTGTTCTGCAAGCTGACTTAGATTTTGGACTACAATGACTGGCCATTGGTAGAAATATACCATATATACACATGGAAATTACAAAAATACATTTTTATTTATAGCTGATTTCTTTTTAAGTAACAAAAACTAACACTATGAAAGATCAACTGGCATACTAAAAGGACACTAGCTAATATCATCTAAACAAGAGACTCATCTGAGGATTCCATGACACATTCCAGAAAGGGCAATTTGCCATTGGAAAATAAAAACAGCTGCTTGAAAAGTCTGTGCTTTGACAGTTGGAATCTCCCATTCTAATCAGTTCCATTCCTACTCTCCTCTCAACTTTTTAAAATTCCACCTTCTTTCGGGTAAAGACCAAAGAAACTCAGGAGGACAATGGAAAGATGGGCTCAGGAGGGAATGGGAACTGCTGAAGCTCAATGGGTCATGGGTGAAGGCAGGACAGGACCTCATTCTCCACAGATACCAAGTAAGTAAGCCCTCAACCCCACACGCACTACCCAAAGTCAGGAGCAGTGTTGCTTGTGTCCATGGTAGTCAGTGGCTGGTGCCCCAGTCCTGTGGAGGCAGAGTCATCCACTCGGAGCTTGGCAGGCCAATTCTCCATGCCAAGAAGGGTGACCTGGAGCATCATGGCCACAAGGTATCAGCCTTGCCATTTTCATTTTGACAAATGTCCTCTTGTGTCCATAAACTATGGAGAGTGGGCAAAACCCACACATTTTAAAAAGAAGTTATTTACGCTTAAACTCCAATAACAGATTTTCTACCTTCAGAAGCATCTATACATGGAGGCTTCGGTTTGGAATAACCGAAACTCATCGCTCCCATTTCTAACAAGAGTCAGTGACCCCTTGGCAGATCAGGCTGGAGATCAGTGCTGGAGAGACAGAGATTTTCTCCTAAAAGTCAATGTATGTTTTATCCCTAAGAGAGAAGCTCTGTTCTCAGGCCACCTTCAATGCAGGCAAAGAAAAATCTCTACAAATACCTCAAATACCTATTTTTCTTTTACAGGATCCTAAAAGCTCTAAGCACTGATTCTCTTTCATTTCAACCCCAACTTGCAGGGTACTCTATTTCCAACTGACAACACCTTTTAAAAAGCTTGTCGACACAAACCTACCATTCCTGCTCATCTCTCTTTCTCCCGGCCTTTAATTAACGGTGTTGAAGGGAATGGGGAGTCAGGACTATTTATAGGTGCAGCCATCAATACTGATTTTCATCCAATTCATTTGACTTTGAATATGAACTTTTAAAAGCAAAGAGACTCAAGTTTCTTGGCTGGAGTCAGTGTCTGCCTCACAGAATAGAGATGATTTTAGCGATCACAGTCACAGCTGAATGAGAGAAAGGGCAGTCTGGGGCGTAATTCACACTCCTGCGTTGCCTTTAACACAGAAAAGAGTTAACATGCAGAGGTCACCAAAGATAGAGCTATACTCTCCCCTTTCTGGTGATTTAGTCCGATGTGGCATTGGACAGGAATCTGTAGATTAGTGAGTGCCTCTCTTGACTAAGGCTCCTCTTGGTGGGGGAAAAGGATGCCCATGATTCAAACATTCAACATAGCAGAATCTGGAACACATGGTCCCAGGCAGGACCTGTGAGCCATGATCAGCCGCATGAGCCAGGAATCCAGTGGTTCACGAGTTTCCTGTTTCCCAGGAGCCCCGCTGTTCACCTTTTGGGAAACAGAGAGTGAAGAAGACTCACCCATTGTCAGTAGGGGTGAGGAACCCTGAAGCCTGATTCCTTGGAGTCTGGATGCGCAGAGTTCCGCGGGGCTGGTGCATTAGACCTGGAACTCAAACATGTCTGTCTGCTTCTTGGCCAGCTTGGCCACCTCCTCCCGGATGGCTTTCACGAGGGCCGCAGTGGAGATGTTGGTCAGGGGCGCGTCAGAAGGGTCGTTTTCAGTCAGGCTCTGCTGTGATGCTGCCGCCGAGGGCATGGGGGCCTGTTCTAGGCTGGGGTGCAGGTTGGTGGGCTGGCTGTACTGGCGTGGGAGCCTGGAGGGCGAGCTCTGCTGATACCGTGAGCGGGGGTAGGCCTCGATGTACCCGGGCAGGGGCACCTGCACAGGACAGCAGGAGAGACAGACAGGGAGGGCCCAGGATTAGGAGGAAGGTGGAGACACACGACACCTCAGCAGGGGCCTTAGGGAAGGGCCTTAGAGGAAAGCACACACTATTGTCCAGATACAAAATCTGGAGCCAGTCTGCTTAGCAACAGCTGAGAAAAGTCTCAACTGTGTCCGCTGATTGGATAAATTAAACAGATGCTTAAAGCCTGGCTGCCAGCATTAGGAATATATCTGAGTCTCCATCTGAACCTACTTGGTTTCCTTCACTTAAGCAGATACCAGCAAACAGAACTGTAGCCAAGGAGCTTGGGGGAATTCATTTTTCTTTTCTTTTCCCTCCCTCCTTCCCTCTTCCCCCACTCTCTTCTTCCTTTTCTTCTTTTGTCTCAATGGAATTTAGGTTTGTAATCAGAACCTTCACACTGAGATCCATCCCCAGCCCTTTTTTGGTTTTAGATTTTTTAAAATAGGTTCTCCCTAAGTTGCATGGGCTGGACTAGAATTTGAAATCCTCCTGTCTCAGCCTGCCAGAGTGCCTGGATTATAGATGTGTGCCACTATGTCCAGCTGGCTGATGAATAGTAGCTAATACACATTAAAGCCTGTGCTATTTTACACATTACCTCATTTAATTCTCAAAGCAACAGCCTAGAAGGTATCATCATCCTTATTTTATAGATGAGGGCATGAAGCTAAGAGTTTCACTGTCTCGGTGGCATAGCTAAACAGCTCCTGAGAAGTGCCCGGACAGGTGCATCTATATCCAAGGGCTGGGAAATACTCCGTGCACTAATGTCCTGAATCTGGGATATGATTTTGATTTCCTGAACATTTTTGTTCCTTTCCATTAAAGGTGGGAGACACTTAAATGTAAGGGAATTTCCAGGAATAAGAGCAAGTCAAAGGCTTGGAATTTAAGGGTGACCCAGAAATAGAGCCACATATGGGGATGCTGTCCCTGTGTTGTTTCACGAAGACCTCTGGGACCACAGTGCCAACTGGGACGCTGTGGAATGAGTGGCCACAGAGGATGCAAGGACAGGGCTAGGGGCTGCAGAGAAACAATCATATGTTGGGAGTTGAGTAGCTTCCTGGGACCAGCAGCAGGGAGGAGTCTGCTCCCTGGAAGAGGAGGTGGGGAGGGCGCTGAAGGCAGAGGGAAAGACATGTGCAAGGCACAGGTGGGCTGGGGGCATAGAGGTGGTGTCCCCAGAGAGGCCCAGATGCTCAGCCACAGGATGCCAGCTGCAGAGTGCGTGCTTCCCTAAGGTACCTGTACGTTTTCTGGCTTCTGTGCCAGGACCACAGACAGCTCCTTTTCCTAGCAGAGAGGGTCAAGTGTCCAGCTCCTGAGTCCTATCTCTTTCTGCACCATTGCCTTTCCATGCCAATAGCTGGGATTCCTGACCGCACTGGAATGGCTTTAAGGTGACACTGAGAAACCGGGCAGCAGCAGGGAAGAGGGGCAGGCGACAAGCACTTTCCCCTCTGGAGTAGATACAGGATGGAGCTATCAGGCTTTGCGGCCCAAATTTCATGGCAAGCTCCCTGTCAGACATCATCAATGGGTCCAGTTCAGTCCAGCAGTTTCCTGCTGAACCAGGAAGCTCCCTCCTAAGCCTGCTCCCTCTCTATCAAGGATGAAACCTCTTTGTCATCCCAGGTCACCAGGATTTTCGGCAAGCTATCATTTGGGATCAGGGAAGTCAGACATTCAAATTAAGGTGGAGACTTTTTCCTTGTCATATCCAGGTAAGGGGCATGCGTCACCTCTGCCCTACTGGGGTGTCTTTTCTCAAGCCAGCAGCTGACCCCTCTGTGCATCCTGTCCTGTGTCTCACGTGCTATAAATCACCCATCCTGCCCATTTTGCTCCAAGCATGGGTACACAATGGGTGATTGTCAAAGCTATAGACTTACTGCATGGTTAGTGCAACTTAAACTTTATGTCTTTCTGAAAAAAATACATTGTTTTTAGACTTTAAGTCTTTTATGGCCTTGAGCTCTGAACTGTTCAAATGATATCCAATGATCTGAAATACTCAGAAAAGCAGAGAATGACAAAAACAGCAGGCAGGCAGAAGGCAAGGAAGGGAAGAAGGGAAGGAGGGAGGAAAAGAAAAGGAAATAAGACTCTAACAATGAAAATAGATGTCATAAGGTCCCATAGAGATTCACACTTCCGAGGAGCAGGCAATCCTGCTAGTTCCCTTTTATTTACTCCAACTTTACAAACAATTCTAGCAAGCTCAGACATGCTTTTATTTGCAGATCATAACACATTAGGAAAAGCACATTTAAGGACAGGTTTATTACTGACAGCAATATAAAGTGCCAGCTGGTAGCAGAAGCAAGCAAAGAAAACTTGTAATGAGCTGTGGTAGTAACCAAAAATTATAGTAGTCTGGAAATAACTGACATAGGGGCAATAATCCTACAAACAATGCAAATTCTTTCTTTCTTTTTTTTTTCTTTTGTTTTTTTTGAGACAAGGTCTTGCTATGGAGTCCAGGCTAGCCTTGAACTCACTATCTAACTCAGGTTGGCCTCAACCTTGTAGTGATTCTCCTGCCTCAGCCTTCCAAGTGCTGTAATTACAGGCAGCACCCCTGGCAAATAATATGAGTTCATCTCACAAATGTCACTGTAGTATAATGAGACATCACAGTGATGCTCAATCATTCATATAAAACAAATAAATATACTGTATGCTTTTTGAAGAAGGAGAGGGAAGGATAGTACTCATTTCAGAAATATTTTCATACAAGATGGCATGTATTTAAAGGTTCTGGAGACCAAAGGTGTAAATTCTGAGCACCAGGAAAAAGGTTAATCTCTGGGGATTATCCCTGGTTTAAGGGTGGCACACCGCAGGAAAAGCAAATGCCAATGCAGGGTGGAAGCGATAAGTGTGCACCCCGGGAGTGTGGACAGTGAAGATGCCCCGCCAGTGAGGGCAAACCTTTTAGAGACCGAGTGCCCAAACTGCAGCCCCCAAACTCATTTACTTAATCCCAAAGTACCAACACTGCGTTTAAACCCGAACACTGAGGTTTTAGTTTAGAAAAAACAACTCAGACACTTGACTCACATGCCGACAGAGAGACAGGCCCTGGCGTCAAGATGTTTTCTAACTCTCGCATTCCAGATCCTGAGAGAAACATCTAAAATAACCAAGAACACCAGGGGAACCTCAGGGGTAGCCTGGGGACAGCTTGCCTGTCTCACCAGGAATGAGTGATCTCATCCAGGAACAAGCCAACCTGCTCTAGTCTAGAGTCGATGCTGGCTTGGTTTGATTAAACAGCAGCTTTGACAGGTGACTCCAGAGACTGGCATGGATATCCACATAGGCTCAGACCCTGCCATATACTCCTACTTGTCATGAAGGGAGAAAAGAAAGGTCCAGGGTAAACCAGTCCTTGGCTAGAAGTCAGGCAGGGAGTATTAGGATCTGTCTAGGAGACATTTTCAGTCTAATGCTTCATTTGTTGGCCTTTGATCTAAAATTGTATAGAACTTGACAGCTAGAAGAAACAGATTCAATGAACAGGTTAGGCTCTCCATTGTGGCTCTGGCACCTTACTAGCTGTGTGGCCTTAGACAAGTTCACATTTCCTGTGTGGGCCTCAATTTCCTCATCTGAAAAATGGGAGTAATTGTGAACCGAATAGTACCAGCCTGACAGTTTTGTTGGGAAGATTAAATAAAATGATACATACAATATACCTAACATGCTATCTGGCACATAGAAAATACCCAACAGGTGATAGTTATTATAAAAATGTATTTATTAAAGTCACCCCAGCTAGGAAGAAGTAGAATCTGTCAGAATTATAGGCTTCAAGTTCTTGTGTCAAAGGAAACCCCACCTTATCACACTGCCTCCTTCACAATGGCTGATATTAGCCACCTAGTTAGTGGGAGGGGGGCTCAGTCTTTCACCCCATTTTGACCTGGAAGTGTATTAAGCTGGTGAAGCTCTAGGAAGGTGTCAGCAAGGGGCTCACCGAATCGGCCCACTGGCTCGGGAGCTCGTTCTCTCCTGCGTAGGACATCCAGGCCTGGCTCCTGTAGGACGAGGGAGGCGTGGGGATGAAGTAACCGGTGAAGCCGGGTCTGTTGGCAGCTGGGATGGCGAACACTGCTGGCACCGTGTTACCTGGCATGGAGGAGATGGGTGGGGAGGTCAGAGAAGGCTGCGATCTGGCCCCCCAGGAACCAGATGAAGCCATTTTTACAGCCTGCCTGGTGGTCTGTGGGCTGGAGGTCTCATTAGGTCAGATCTGATGGAGCGGAGCTTGTCCTGGGTCACAACATGGATGTACAGGAGTCCCATCCAAGGCAGAGTGACCTCTGGCTGAGACTCTGCAGCAGCAAGGAACAGGGTAGGCTGAATCAGAGGGACAGGCTCTTTGTAGAGCTGGTCTAAGGCCACTGTGCCGGGTGGAGCAGTATGCACTGGCCTAGGGAGCAGGAGAGGCTAAAATCCAGCCTGCGCCCTTTGCCAGGGCAGGACATGCCCTGATGCAGGGAAAAGGAAGCGTTTTTCCCTTTTCACCAACTACAGCATGAGCTGGGTGTGCTGTGGGCTTGCTGAGTGCTGTGTCCCACTCACTGGGCCTGCATCTGCCCAAGTTTGGGGGAGCTAGGGCATTGGAGAGGCCTGTGGCATTGGGCATGGCTAAGGGATGAGACAGAAAAGGCCTGTGGGGTGGTGGTTCATGAAGAGGAGTCCTCCTTCTGGCTCCAGCCACCTGTTCAGTCAGTATGGGAGAGCATCATCTGCTGTGACTCTGACCAGCTTGCTAGATATTGGTGGCCCCGTTCGCCCACTGAGATCTCACCAACTCTCCTGTCCCTCTCCCAGCACCCTGTCCTGCTGACAAGAGGAAATGACACCTTGGGGTCCAGATACTTTCTTGCCAGGGGGCACTTTTTTTTTTTTTTAAAGATCCAGAAAAATGAACCGAAAGGAATGGATGTCTCTGGTGATATTTTGGACACCAGGCAGGCTTTAGTAAGTGCTGGGAACTGGGTGCTTGCAGTTTTAGTCGGAAAGGTTATGGTCTGAATAAATTGGAAAACCACCGAGTTCACATACAAACCTGGATGTTCCATTTGGACACTGTCCTAGCAAAAAACTGGTGATAACTCTTAGGTCCATTAGCAGGGACAAGGATGGGCTGGGCCATATGTGAGGGACACCCCGTGGTGGGTTAAATGGGTGAAGCTAGTCGGTGTGTATATACCAACCTGTAGAAATCCTGTGAATGATGTGAAATCAAGAAAACGAGCGGAAACGTTCAGGGTATCGCATAAATGTAAGATGCATAAAACTTTAATAACACTGTTATACAGACACATTATGTTGCAAAAGATTAAAATCCACAGCTTGCGGACTGTGATTGCTTGGGAAGAAACATGAGACAGGATGGACAGCTGCCTGAGTAATGCTGTAAAGATAAAACAAACTAAGCCCACAAAAGAACTGGAAACATGTTAACATACACCTTGACTTTAGCAAATACTGGCATTTTGCCCAATTTTGGCTCTTTTTTTAAAGAAACAGGCCCAGAAGTCTTCTTGTGAGAGCTGGTGGTCATGAGAGGATCCAGAAACACAGTGCTTTGATTCCTGAGGGTGGCAGGTGGCAGAGGGTGTGGATATGTGAGGGTTAGGAAGAAAGAAGCTCAACGGCAGGGTTTGGGGGGCCTTTGGGCTGTCCTTGTACTCACCTGAGTAATTTAAAGCTGACTGATCCAGCTGTGCCACGGACACGGGGCCTCTGGACACCTGGGCGAACGAGGCACTCTCATGCAGCTGGGCCGGCTCAGAGCCCACAGACTCGGCCATTCGGGTCTTGCTGCCAATGTCTGAGGTGGACCTGGGCAGAGGAGAGGGACTATGTTAGCGTGGACCTCAGGCCATCATTTGGGGGTGGGCCACCACTTATCAGCTTCCCAAGCTTCAGGACCTCAAATAACAAAGGGACTTCTGGGGGCACCAGCAGGATAAGAAGTGCCCAGACTTGCTGTGGCAGTAGTGGTGGCTTAAGCTGGGGTCATTTCTAGGTGTTTAAGGTCACTTCTCTCCTCAGAGTGGCTCGGTGTCTCCGGGTAACAGAAATCTAATTTTCTTGTAAAAGAAACAAAGCAATTAGCTGTTGGTGTTAGCTCAGGAGGGTTGACCCAGCAGGTGATGACATCATCTGCAGCCAATGAGAAGGCTAGGTCATATGTCCCACGTATATGGCCCAGCCAATGAGAAGTCTGGAGTGTGGGGATGGGCTGGGCTGGGGCACAGTAGCTGCTGCCTCCACTAGGAAACCAGAAACCCAAGATTCTGTGAAGCCAGGCTGTGCCAGGAGATGCAGACCAGCACTCTGGGAGTATCATGAACAAGAGGGAACCACCATCCTCTCTTGGTCCCACAGACAACCAGAGAATCGGGCCCATGGGTCACAGCAACTTTCTACTTGGTGCTCAAAGCCATGTAAGAGCAGGGCAGCCCCCTAGGCAGGCACAGGCATCCCTGCATACAAGAAAAGGATGCCTTCAAACCAGACTCCTGTTTTTGAAGGTGTCACCCCTCATCTGAGGCAAGATGTCACAGAGGGACCTCTGGCTGTGCTAAAGTAAAAATGGGAGGTAGGGAAAGGCAGCTACCGCAGATGGAAGGCTGCCAGCCCATAGGGCCACTCTGACAGAGCGGCGACTGTCACTGGAAGAGCAGAAGAGAGCCACCCAAAGAAGAGGATGGAAGGCAGGGTCTGCTTTCATTACCTCCCTCCCTGAGCCTCAGTTTGCCATCGGGACCTAAGAGGGGCAGACAAGTTCACCACAGAAGTCCCTTCTTCATCTAATTCTGTGGGTTACTTCTGCAGGAAAAGTGACTCCTGGATACCTGGCAAGGGTGGCAGATGGTGCAGGAGGGCAAGGGAGGAGTCTGTGGTTGGGAGATGAATTAAGAAATGAACTCTGGGGTCCTTAAACTCAACACAAATGGCTGGTGTGAGGCCCTCCAAGCCAGAACTCCTGGAAGTGACTGAGAAGCCCCCAGCTCTTCCCGAAAGCACAGGCTGTGAGGACTTGACTCTCCAGCAGGATGGGTGCTAGTGCACCTTCCCTCCCCCTTCTCCAGCCTGCTTGTCCTGCAGCTCTTGCTGTCCACCTTTTGTCCCAGGCTTTTACAATTGCTCGGAAACCTCTTCCCAAGAGAAGTCTTGGGTTCTGCTGTGAGACCCCCATCTGAGGAATCCCAGAGCTCCTGAAATCATTTAGGCCACTGCTGTCATTTTGCGAACAGAGAATCACATCCGGAACCAGAGAAGCCAAGGCACCTTGCCTGGGGTTACACAGCAGATCCATTGGCAGGTTAGGGACTGGCACTCCGCCACCCGCTCTACCCTCTTTCCATGGGTACCAGGGGGTGCTGTCTACACAGCTGTGCATCCCAAAAATATAAGGAAGCTTATATTTTTCTTTCTCATTTTCATAAAATCCAGACCTGAACTCCACCAATGGGGTGTGACTAGCATGTTCTGGGGAGAGTGAGGAGGGATGGCCAGGATAGTGGCCTGTGTGTACCCTAGAGCTCAGTCGTTTCTCCCCAGCCCCAGACACCAAGCTTATCCCAACCTTTCTCAATGTTCATGGCTTTTGTATTCTTTGTCCATCTTTATTAAAAAGCATGTGTTTGCTGTGTCACTACAGAGCAGAGACTATGTGACCTATGCCTCATATAGAGTACCTGAATTCAGCCTGTCCCTCTTAGAAGTTAAGATTTGGGGTGGCCACCTACATACGCTTCTTTCTGGCCTGTCAGACTCCAGCCTTAAATAATGAAAGGATTTCTATGGGTGCAAACATGGCAGGAGGCACCCAGACTTGTAGCAGCCACTGTGGTGATCTGAAATGGTGTAATCTCTAGAAGTTTAAGGTCAGGGGAGGAGGCTTTCAAGGTATGGGGCAGTTGGCTTTGGCTTTGGTGCCTGGATTCTCAAGGACTCTACTCTACTCAGAAAGGGTGGACACTCAGTCTCTGTGGTCCTTACTTATTTCCTGGTACTCAAGTACCCAGGCACGTGGGTGCCTATGCAGATGATGTACCTTGAGTGAGGGAAGACATGAAGGAAGTTTGCTGTTACTACAGCACAGGGACAGATCTTTTCCTCATGTTTCAAACAAAGCAGAGAAAGAAATGTGTTACCGTCTGAGAGAAGCAACAGCCACTGGCCCAGGCCGGGGTGGTACAGGCGGTGGCGGAGAGCCCATGACCATTTCAGGAAGCTGGGAAAACCTGTAGGCCTGGGAAATTGACAGGCAAAGAGAGGGAGAAGTGTTAAAACCCAGAGGCCATCAGCACACAGATTCTTAGAGGAGGTATAATCAAAAAATATGGTGAATGCTTAAACTGATAAAAATTTAAAGGCACATTGTAATCCTCCTTAGAACACTTCCCCTTGCTTCAAATACACTTCTGCCCTCATTCTTAACACTTTCTGAGGCAGTTCTGGAAGTCCTCTTTCATGCCTTTAGCTGCTCTCTGGTGGCTGCCTTGATATCCTGAATCAGTTCAAAATGTTTTATCTTTCATGGTGATTTTGACTTTGGGGGAAGAGCCAGACATCACACAGAGCCAGATTCAATGAATAAGGCGGATGAGGACACATCACGATGATTTTACGAGCCTGCCTTTGTGCTGGATAGCACTGGCAGCAGCACTCACTGTATGCTTGACCAAATCTTGTAAAGACACTCACGAAAGAGGATTTCCAGAGCTGCTTCAGAAAGAGACAAGAATGACGGGCTAAGTATGTTTGAAGTGAGAGAGGGTATTCTGAGTGGGTTTAACGGCAGTGTGTCTTTTCGGTAGTAATTTTATGTAAACACACACTATGTATTTTCATCAGTCTTTGTATAAAGAGGAAGTTGGACATTCCTTCCTACCACAGGCTTGTCCCTGAGATCTTCCTTACCATGTTCCCCAGCCGCCTCTTCTATTTCATCTTTCTCTACCCCTCCATTTGCTCAGACTACTGTGACCACAGAGCCCTTCAATGTTCTTAGAACAGTCAAATTTTTTCCTGCTTTGGTTCCTACTGTTCCTTCTACCGGGGATGTCTTTCTCCTACATTTTCCCATGATTTCATTCATGAAGTCTTCATTTTATTCACTCCACTCCATATTCACATATTACTTTTCATCATGACAAACACCACCTTGGCATTTATATCTTTATTTACTTATTATTTGCCATCAACTAGACTGTAAGGATTGCAAGGGGAAGGGTTTACCATCAGTAATACCCTTATGCCTGGAATGGTACGTAACATAAACAGATGATCAAATAAATGTTAGATAATGCATGAATCATTGAGTGCATTTTATTTTCTCATGGAAGGTAGGTTTAGTTCAGAAAAGCAATGAAGGAAGCTGGGAAGGTCAAGAGGCAGGTGTGGTAGTTCTGATGAATTTTTGGTCCATAGGTGAGTCACAGTGGCCTCCTGCACTCTAGTGTCCTCTTTTAAACTGGGGACACTGATGCCCTTCACATGGGGCTACTTAGAACATAGGCAAGTCAGTTTTGACACAAGCACTTTGCAATCTATAAGTCACTATTCCAAGATAAGGAACTGGAACATCACCAAAGACTTTCACCATTGCATGAGGGGATGAAGAAAGATGGAGAGAGATGGGCAGAGTCAGGAAGGGCCACCCCACAGCCTTCTTCACCTAGAGACAATATGGAGATGCTCTCTTGGGGCACAGAGTTTCACTTCTGATCTCTCTCTTCCTCAAGAAATTGAAGAGGATGCTAGAAAATGATGGAAAGGCATCTCTTGTTCTTAGGTTGTTGGGATTCATGTTACTAAAATGACCATATTACCAAAAGTGATCTATGGATCACTTCAATGCAATCCCCCATCAAAATTCCAATGACGGTCCTCATAGAACTAGGAAAAGCAATCCTAAAATTCCTGTGGGATAAGAAAAGACCACGAAGAACCAAAGCAATTGCAAGGGAGACAATTTAATAAACGACTCATAATTTATAGGATTATTTTATAATATTCACACAAAAAAGTCAAATGCAAAAAGAGTACAGGAAATCTGTCCATATACTACAGACCCAAAGAATCCAGGTGAGGGCCTGGATTTCATAGCAGTGCACTGCATGAGGCCAGCTAAAGACCTAGAGCCCACAACAATGTCTCATGCAAGTCTGTATTGAGGATCTGCGGTGGAAAAGCCCAAAGGTCAATGGTGGAAGCTGGAAAGATTGCATCAGTGGGACAAAGGATCAGAGCCAGCAGGCTAAGAAGATGGAGTGGAGCCAGGAAGTGACATTCAGAGTAAGGACCCGAGCTCCCCCGCAAGGAACCACAGCCATCCTCAGGAACAAGGTCCTGAGCTCCTCTAAGGATAAGAACAGCTAAGTTCCTACAAGGAAAGCCAGCATGACAAGGTTTTCCAGGAGAATCAACAGCCCTACCTCTTTCTCCCCTGTTCTCCATTTTATGCTGCTAGCAACAATTCTTAGGTGGGCCTTCCACACCCAGCCACCATGATAATTTAGTTCAGTTGGGTGTTACAAGTTGACCACTAGTTGTCAATCCACCAAAGCCACTCTCACCAAACAGAACAAAGCTGGGGGCATCACAATACTGTTATATCACAAAGTTATAGTAAAAAAAAATAGCATGGTACCAGCACCAAAACAAACCTACAGGTCAACAGAATGGAACAAAAACAGAAACAACTTCATGCATCCATAGTCATCTGATTTTTGACAAAGAGGTCAAAAACATATATTGAAGAAAAGACAACCTATTTAACAAATGGTGCTAGGGGATACCCACTTGCAGGAGACTGTGATAAAATAAAGTACAAATGGGGGCTGGGTTTAGCTCAGCGGCATATGCGCCTTGCAAGTGTGTGGTCATGAGTTTGATCCCTGGTACCAATAAAAAAGAAAAAGACAAAAGAAAAAAGTCCAAATGGATCAGAGATCTAGGTGGGAAACAACAGAGTGAAGAGACAACCTACAGAACAGGAGAAAATTCTCACTAGCTACTCTTTGGATAGAGTCCTAGTATTTAGAATATACAGAGAACTGCAAAAAAAAAAAATTAACTGTCATCTTTTTCTTTAGGTTTCACACCTGCCAGGTCCCTCAAAAAAATAGGATGCTGGACCTTGTCTTTGTGTTTTGTTTGTTTTCCTTGTGGAATAAGGCACTGGCCTAGCTCCTGGTCTTCCAAACTGTTCTTTAGCCATGAAACCATTCTGAAAGCCCTTAACACACAGATGTGAGCAGAGCTTCTTTAGTTGAGGGTAGGGTGAGGGGATGGCCTGGTAAATTTGACCCTTTACTTGCTTTCATGATGGCCCCCTGAGGACCTCCCTGAATCCTAAGGTTTTGCATCAGTGTGACAAAGGATCAGAGCCAGCAGGCTAAGAAGATCATTATCCTGGAAGACTTTTCAGCTTTACATTCTATGATCATCAATAAACGAACAACTAAAATGCTCCTCTCCCAAAATAAAGAAAGGGGTTCACAACCCCCCTGCTTTCCTCTGGTCTTGTGCTATTCAGCAGAGGAGGCCAGCAATCTATTTTTATGTCTGGTTCTTGGAAGCCTTATTCTGTAGTCAACACAGTTTCCCAGTCAAGAAAAAACTTTCTATGCCTGTCTGTCCTGCAACTGCTCACCAAGAGAGCTAATTAAAAGTTCTGAACTCCTGACATGCACCCAGGGAGTTCCCTTCTTTTGAAGATTTTTTCAGGTATAAAGCATGACTGCATGGAATGTCAGCCACCTCTGGGATGGATCCGTGGGCTGTTGGGGCAGCCAAGGGGGCTGTATTAAAAGCCAAAATACAGCCTATGCCATTTGCTCGCCAGTTGCAGGAGTCCTCCTGTGCCGTGTGTTACAGTTTAGATCTAAAATGGTCTCCAAAAGGCTCATAGGTGCAAAGGCTGGGCTTCTGGAAGGTGACGGGATCATGGAGTGTATTAGAGACCCCTGGAGTAGGCATCAGTCTCCTACCAGGTGTTATGCTGCATGGCAGGAAGAAAGCAAGAGACAAAACTGTAGCAGGGATCTGGGATGACCAGTTGTTTGTGGGGAACAAAAGGCCCCATGGCAGCCATAACCTTGGTATTTATTGATTACATCTGTGTCAAGGACGAAGGATGAAGGGCAGTCAGTGTTTCCAAAACAGTAATGGTTACTACAGGTGGGCTAGTAAGAAGAACAAAGCATTCTTGCAAGGACAAGGATGAGATGGGGCAATAAGGAAGCCAGTTTCTCCTGATGCCTTGTCATCCTCAGCAGGTCTTAACTTGCTCTGTGATCACTACAGCATCACTACGACTTTCAGTTGTGACCAGAAAAAAGCAAGGAATTTCCTTATCAAGCTCAAAGGGCAGAACAAAGATGGCCTCACACAGCCTCTAGATTCAATTTACAGTTTGTGGTCCCCCACATGAGTGCTATATTCATCAGCAAATTAAGGCATTGATGAATTTATGGCTGAATGTGCTGTTCGGAGGTGGGGCGTGGAAGGATGTATTCTTGTCCCTACTTCTCTCTTCTCTGGGCTTTCTGACTGCTGTGGTTTGAACAACTTTCTTGAGCTGTATACCCTTCCACCATGCCAAACTGCCTTGGAGCCAGACCATGGATGGGACCCTCTGAAACTGTAAGCCAAATAAATCTCTCTTCCTTTAAATTATGGATGTCAGGTATTTTTTTCATTCTAGAAACAGAAAAGTGACTAATACATATTTTCATACCTCTCCTGGTGCAGGTTTTCCAAGCTTGTCTTTACCTTCTAGCTCCCTTTTTCACAAATAAAGATAGTTTGGCACTCATCATCAATTGATTCCGGGAGGTACAAAAAATACCACACAGATCGTTTTGGCTGGAAAGGGTAGGGAGCTGTGAGACCGTCAACACCAGCAAGTTCTAGCCTGTGCACTCAGTATAAATGATCTATGAGTACTAAATAAACTATGAGTACTGGGACAAAATTTTCCCATCCAGACATACAAGGACAAAATCTGACAAGTTTCAAAGACAGTCAGGTACTAAGGTAGGATTACATTTGGAATCTGACTTCTCTCGGCTGCCTTGTGACTAGTATGCCACTGGAAACTGTAATTCAAATTATTGCCAGGTTCAAACTGTTGCAGGCATTACTGGCCCAGTCCAGCAGTCAAGGGAATCATCTTTTGGAGTCCTTGCCCTCTGGCTAGGAAAGAGATCAGGGGTCTTGGAACTGAAGGCAGGCTTTATAAAT